AGAAGAAGAAGAAGAAGAAGAAGAAGAAGAAGAAGAAGAAGAAGAAGTTGAAGAAGAAGAAGAAGTTGAAGAAGAAGTTAAGAAAAAGTTGGAAGATAAGAGAAGGAAGAGTGGGAAAAGAAAAAACAAAAGAAGGAAAGTGGGAAGAAAGAGAGAAAAGAGAAAACAATGAAACAAAATGACAGTTAGTTGTCTCTCCTTTACAACGGGACTCCTAGCTGCATAAGATAGGATGGAATTAGAAAGCCATCATTTTCCAACTATCACTGCAGTGGTTTCCTTAACAGCCATCCATGATGAGAAAATGAGTAGGTGAAAAACTAGTAAGAGTAGCAGCATATGTGCCTAGTCCCAAGGCTTTCTCAACCTGTTCCTTATCAACTACACAGGAAAGCAAAGCTTGGCTATAAATCAAGGTTTCTAATGACCATCACCACTGTGGGGCTGTTCCTCTTGCTGAATATCTGGATACAAGTCTCCAGGCAGAACATTTGACTCAGTGGGTCTAGACAAGGTCCAGATGGTATTTTTTTCTGTGGTGTGAGATGCAGTGACCACTGATGATCTCTAGTTCTAAATTGCATGTGCATGGCTGCCCTTCAGACTTTGAACACAGTATAACCCTGTACTTTAAGAAAATTCCTCTGGTTGAGTATATAATATCTACAAACATATTATTCTGTAATTTGCAGACATATTCATCTGCCTAGGTAACCCCTTGCCTATTTCCAAAACAAATCTCTGTCTTTGTGGTTCCATATCAGTAGATACCATCTTTGCTTACCGTGATGAGACTCTTTGTCTTTGGAATTCTGGGAGTTGATCATCAGCTGAAGAAAATCCAATCTTTGCTGAAAGAAAATAATTTTGGAAGTTGCAAAGTCAGTTGTGTGGTCAGAGAGGGTCACAAGTGCAGAACTAGCCATACTTCTGATAATAATATTTATTTAAGACCAGAAATCTCATTAGAGTACAAGATCCAGTGGTAAGCACATATGTCCACATATCAGCTTTAGAGAGCAGAATGCTTTTTTTTTTTTTTTTGTCTGAACTCTGGCTATGTGTTCAGCAGCTCTGGTCTTTGATATCCTTGACCATTTAGGTCCTCAACATTCCTGATAGTCACCTTCCACTCACATGTGTGCTCACATAGAAAGAAGTTCTGGACTTCAGTCCACACCATTCTATCAGAGTACTGAATCATTTCTGTATAGAGAAAACTTGTGCCACTTCCAAATTTCATCAGTAGTTTTTGGGTTGAGCATCTTGAAATGTTCCAACAAGTAGTATCTGGGGGTTTATTCAGTCTCACCCTTATGATGGATGGATGCCTTTATTCTGGAACCCAGGCTGTATGTAACAAAGCCTGGGTCACGGGATAAGCCTGGTGCCCACTTCAAACCAGAAGAAGCTCAAGTTTAGTTGAGACTAGCCAGGCAGGTTGACACATACTTGTATTCCTAGCTTTTGGGTCAGGATGACTGAGAAGAGGCAAAACTGCACAGTCATACCGTGTCTCCAGAAATTAAAAGCTAAAAATAAAGCAGACCGAATGGCACCAGATAACTTAAAACGGACTTTCTGGGGGAGCATTTATAAAATAATAGGTTTGGAACTGAAGTTTTACCAACTGGTAAATTAAAGTTCCTGGAAGTAGTGTTTAAATAGAAAAGTTTTTCCTTTTAGAAAGGATATGGTAACTTTTGTCCCACATTTTAAAAAAGATTCATTCTTATTTCTGTTTTTATGCATGTCTCTGTGTGCGTGTGTGCATCTGTGAGTGCAGATGCCCATAAATGCCAGAACTGGGGACTGGAGTCCATGAAGCTAATGTACAGGATGAGCTGAACCCCAAACCTCACCAAAATGTGGGCACTGGAAACTAAATTCTGGTCCTTTGCAAGAGCGGGCCAACTGCTAACTGCTGAGTCATTTCTTTCCCTGTCTCATCCCATTAATTTAAAAAATTATGTTAAGGCATACTTAAAAAATAAAAAGTATACATATCAATGGGCACAGTGGGGTTTAATACATGCATACATATATATTTACACACTAACATTTAATATATGCTGTTCAAATTAGGTTAAACATATTTTCAGACTTTTACTCTTTATTCTATGATAGAACACTCAAGTCCATTCCTCTAATAGCCTTTGGAATTTCTAAGATAGCTCCAATAAACATGGGAGTACATCTGTCTCCTACACAAGCTTATGCCATTATACGACCAGCAGGAAGGTGGCTGGAACATATGTGAGTTCTAATTTTTAGATGTTTGCTCATCTTTCCCTCCTGGTGTAAACTAAGATCACAGAAGACCTTAAATTTTGGAGAAATGAGTCACTAGTAATGGCTGATACACTGGGATCTCCTGATTCAACACCAAAGTGACAAACTCTGTTCCAAACATGTAGCTCTACTGTAGGGTTTAATTGGATACCCAGGACAGCTTGGGCCATTGCTCAAGGACGATGTGTTTGCCAACTCTGCATATGGTCCTGAGTTTTATCCTCAGCACCAAGGAAATTACAAACTTTAATTTTTTCAAGTTATATCCATAAAGTTTTCCATAATCCTCTTAACTAATTTACAACCTTATAAATGCAAGAAGTTTTTTCTGGCATGTGAATTTTTCATCTCAAAAATATTAATTTGATGGCAGATCAGTTATTTGATTCTAAATGCTTTCTTCTTGACTTATTTTAAATCTCTATTCCCAATGCTTTGTTTTTTTAAATGTAAAAATTCCTCTGTTCTTAACCTAGTCTAACTTTTAAAATTATGTGGAACATATGTGTACAAACAAATGCCTTAACATTTTATCAATAAATGAACAGCCTCATGTTACCAGTTATTACCTTTTCTTTATCTCGCATGCGATTCTCTTTCATTTGTTCTACAGAAGTTTTAAAAAAGCTCATGACATCATTTGGAAACACGGTCATTTTGAGTGCATTGTATACTGGGATAAGGAATGGAAAGAGTACTAGAGGGGAGAGAAAGGAGAAACCATGGTGAAATACAAAGTCTACCAGGAAAGATTATGTTTATTCTGACACTCAGTACATCAAAAGTTAGTAGAACCTCAATCAAGCCTTCCCCTTTTCTTGGGTTCCAGACCACCGGCTGGGAAAGGGCACTGACATAGGGGTGATAGCAATGGTGCCTGCTGGAAGGTTTCAGGGTTAAATTCCTTGACCTCTCACCCTTGACCTGTTGGGTCAATGTCTTTTTGGATAGATCGGGCTTCAGTCCAGTTCTCCAGAAAGAACTTTCAAGACCTGAGAGATGGCTCAGTGGATAAAGTGCTTGCTTTGCAAATGTGAGGATCTGTGTTCACTTCCCAGAACCTATATTAAAAGCCAAGTGCAGTGGCTCAACAATGGCAGCATGAGAGGTGGAGACAATGAATTCCTGGAAGCTCAATAGCCAGTTAGCCCAGCCTATTTGGTGAAGTTCCAAGTCAGTGAGTACCTGTTTTCAACAAGGTGGAAAGAATAAGAAATGACATACAAGTGTTTTCTTTTTTATGACTTACCTTTATGTAAGTGTGTGGGTGTGGTGTGTACATGTAGACACAGAGAGACAGGCAGGTAGGCAGATAAAGGCAGGCAGACATAGGCACACACAGAGAGAATGTGTTTTCAAGTTAGAAATATCATAGCCTGCATTCTTCACTTTTCAGGGAATACAATCAGGAATCGACAGCAGAAGAAAAGTCGGGAACGTACTATATAAATTGATCATCACCACACTCTTCCAGAACCAAGAGGTCAGAACTATGGGGCAATCTCAAATTGTGTTGAAATGAAGTGAGAAAAAAGGCATGGTATAAACAACTATAGGGCTTGTAAGATGACTCAGCAGGATAATCCTTTACTGTAGAACCTAAGTTGTTTCCTAGAACCCATGGTAAATGGAGATATCTGAGTCCCACATCTTGCCCACAAATGTTCACAATGCACCTCCACTTATAAAGGTACACAAATAATAACAACATGAACACTAATAATATTACTACCAATAAAGAAAACCCTTATGAAGATGGAGACAAAAGAGCATCCATAAGAAAATTTGAGTGTTGAAAAAACCTGATCTTAAATGGCAACACTTAATGAAGAGTACCATTAAGAGAGAACAAACACACTTTGGACAGAGTAGGAGTGGATGTTAAGACCAAAGTGGGAACTAATAAATTTTAAAAAAGACATAGAGGAAATCAGCAAAAGCAAAAGTTGCTACTTCAAAAGTATCCTTAGAAATAGTTAAATGCTAGCTGGCATTGTCTTAGAAATAGAGTGATCACTCAGATTACTAGTGTGCATAGTGGAAGTTTTAGGGAAATTAAAAACACAAGAGCATATTAAGTCATTCTATTAGTAATTGGAAGATTATAAGAATTGCTTCAACTACAAAGTTAAGCTAGGATGTACAAATTCCTAGAAATACACAAACTATAGATATTGACTAAAAATAGATGCATAACATATGTAATAGACCTGTGACATATGAGAACGAATTAATAATAGAAGGCCCTTGACATGGAAAACCTAATACCAAAAAATTTCAGTGGTGAATTCTTCCAATTTACAGAAGATCCAATGCCAATTTCCCCCAAACACTTCCAAAACACAGAGAAGTAAAAGATCTTCAAAATTCTCTATAGGGTCACAGTGCTCTTAAACCCATGACCAAATTGACATCAAACAAACACAGCAGACGGTCTTCTGTAAAATAGAGCCATGTCAATACAAATGAAAATGAGTGAAACAGGTTCATAGATGCAAAACATTTTTTAGAAAAACCAATATTTAAAGGTGTTTAAAGGATTTTCCAGAATTATATAATACATTATATTTTTCAATATCTATCTTTATCTGTCTGTCTGTCTGTCTGTCTACATATCTATCTCTTTATTTATTTAGAGACAGCATTTCTCTGTGTGGCCTTGGCAGCACTGGAACACACTTTGTAGACCAGGCTGGCTTCGAACTAACAGTGATCCATCTGTGTCTGCCTCTCAAGTGCTAGTATTAAAGGTTTGCACCACCCCTGCCCATAACACTTGGCATAATTTATCATTATTGTTATTGTTATTATTTTATTATCTTTAATTACATGTAAGTGTGTGCATCTGTGTACGGGTTTGTGCATCTGAGTGAAGGTGCTCTTGCATAAATTAGAGATGATTGTGATTCCCCTGACATGAATACCGGGGACTATTTTGGGTGCTCTGGAAGAGCAACAAGTGCTCTTAACCTCTGAACCATCTCTCCAGTGTAAGTACATATATTACATTAAACATTAATATAAAATTCATCACTTCCATTTGAGCATATGTCCAAAAGAAATGAAAATTATTGTTTAAACTTGAATAAGACTATTCAGAACAACACCATTAATAACAGCCATAAATTTGAAAAAATTCCAAATGTCCATCAATAATAAATTCAACCATGAAAGGAAAGGACATACTGAAACATCCTTCAAGATATAGGTGCTTTTGAAAACATATAGAAAACCAGAAACAAAAAATGGTAAATTACACAATTCCATTTCCAAGAAATGTCACTTATACCAGAGGAAGGCAGGGAGCCAATGGCTAAACATGCAGTGTTTCTGAGTTGTCAAAAATATTCCATAGCTGACCATAGTGATGACTGTGAATATCTTCATGAATCAGCCTACTTAAGTGGGCTATGTACAATGCATGTGAGATAAAGTTCACAAAACCAGTAGTAGAGAGAGAGGAGGGGAGAGAGGAACAGGGGAATGAAAATGACTGATAACCATTATAAAATGTATGAAACCATCAAACAATGAACATGGGAAAAACAGAAATAATGAAATGGTAGTTCACGTACTCACTGAGAGGAAGAATGGATCCAAGAAATTAAATTTTATGAGCTTTTTCACTTTCTGTACAAAAGGATTTTGTGGGTTGTTGAGGGAATCAACATTTACGCCAAATGATGTGCCAGTAATCACATCCATGCTGTAGGCCCCGAAGATGCTGAATCAAGAGAAACATGGAAATTAACATCTATGCCTCCTCTTATTGTATAACATGGGAGTAAATTCAGAAGCCAAGGCATGGCAGACACTGCCAGGACCCCTTCTGCGATGAATCTTGGCCTCCATCATGCTCTCTGGTGAGAAGTTGATCAGAAGACGGTGTTAACATTATTTTTGCGATGTGAATGTGGTGAGGGTTAGCTTTAGTTGCCAACATGACAACATCTAGATTTATCTGGGAAGAGATTCACAGTATGAAGTTGTCTGCCTCAAGTTGGCATTTGGATGTCTGTGAGGAATTGCTTTGACTACACTAATGAATGTGGAAAGAGACAGTCTCTTTGGGCAGAACCTTTCCCAGGGCTTGAGTCCCTGACTGCACAAGGATAGAAAAGGTAAACTGAGCACAGATGTGGATGTATTTCTCCATGTTCTTCACAGGGGATGTAACTAGGGACTTTAAGTTCCTGCCTTGACTTCTCTGAAATGACATTGACTGGAACACGGAACTGTGAGATTTTGTGAACTATTTTCCTTATAACTTGCATTCTTTATAAACTCGGGAATTTTACCATAGAAGTAGATATGATTAGAAAAGACATCGGGAAACATGGAGTCATAGGAAAAGAGGGATCTAGAATCAGACAAACTGCACCAGTGTTGGTGAAGTGTGGGTGATAATGAATGTGGAAGTATGAAGTCCCACCAGGACAATGCCCAGGGGACTAAAAAAGTGAACACTGTATCAGGAATCTGTGCATCACTGGTATCTGTGCCCAGAACCAAATCATCTTCATTAAAGCACATAACAACTGTTATTAATTCCATAGAGCATGGCCCATGCTCCAGGTACTGACAGATTAGCCTTTTCCAGTACTGGGGAGCTGACAGTGCCCTGAGGGCAGAAGTGCTGCTGTATGTTGTGAAAATCAGCAATATTCCAATAGACACCAGGGAAAACCTCCACTTACGTGCCCACATGTTTCTCATTCACCAGGAGGGCTGTAAGTTTTTATCAGTTTTTTTGTTTTTGTTTTTGTTTTTTTTTTTTTTTGAGACAGGTTTTATTCTGTAGCTTTTGGAGCCTGTCCTGTAACTAGCTCTTGTAGACCAGGCTGTCCTCAAACTCACAGAGATCCACCTTCTTCTGCCTCCTGAGTGCTGGGATTAAAGGTGTGCTCCACTACAGTCTGGCTTTTATCAGTGTTTCTCGAATAACTCAAAAGGCCTTGGTTTATTCAAGAAAATGATCCAATGGCAATGCTTACTTCCTTACTGGGACTTCACTCTTTGGAAATGGGTTAAAAAAGAAATAGTGGGTTGGTTATATTTTCATTTATTGACTCTGGGTGAAACCAGCATGTGCACCTGCTCCTGTGTGGTGTCTGCATATGTGTGTGTGTGCATTTATGTGAGCACACTTGTACCATGGCATACATTCAGAGGACAACTTGTGGGAGTCAATTCTCTCTTTCCTCTGTGTGGGTCCTGGAGATCAAATTCAGGTCCTCCGTCTTGGTGGCAAGCTCCTTTGTCCTCTGAGTCATCTCGCTGATCCGAGGAAGCATTTACTGCTTCACTGATATTCTTCTTAAGCCCAGATGAGATATAAATTGATCTAAATTCTATGTTTAACTTTCCCGGTGCACATACAGTGTTCTTATAGGAGTTAAAAGCTCTCTCTGCTGTCTATTTTCCTTGGAGTATACACTAACAGAAGTGTTTTAAGTCATAGTCCTTTCTAAACTATCTATTTTGCTTTCTACAATTTTCAAATTAACACTTGATAGAGAGATTAATCAAGGCTTCCTTAAAAGGAAGTGGCATCCTTTCATCTATGGCTACCCTATCTTCTCCTGGGAGATACCCCTTTTCTCAGATGGCATAAGGCTGTTACAAGGAGGTCTCCATTTTCCACTGGTCTCAACCTCAGCAGAAGACTGAGTTGTTGTAATCAGTTGTATCACCAACATCTCACTCCTGTCTATCTTAACTACATCCTGAGGCATCTTAACAGCAGGAGCTTCAGCACCCCAGAAGGCAGTTATAGCGTCTACAAACAACTACTGTGATTTGAATGTGAAATGTCCCCCATAGGTTCATATGCTTGAACACTTGGATCTGAGCCTATAGTACTGTTTGGGAAAGCTCCCAATTTTAGGAGGTGGAGATTCATTGGAGTAAGTAGGTTGCTACAGCCAGATCTTGAGTCTACATAGGTTGGGCTTCCTGTTTCTTGAATCGTAAATGCAGTGTGGCCTGTTGGACTACAGCTCCTGATACCACATCTTCCTGCCACAATAGACCCATGGAACTGTAAGCTGAAATGAAGCCTCTCTCTTTCTGGTCACTTTTGTTGCAGTAACAGAAAAGCTTCTAACACAACAACCCAGCCCCCAACGACTCTACTAGTACTTACTCTTTCATGTTAATGGAATCCCCATTCTCCACTCCATGCCTCAAGTTTCTCACCAACAAATCTGCATACTGGTTAATGAGGGGGAACATCTACACACAAAACAAAATTCCATCCATAGTGAGATGAGGGAGCTCAGTTCCCAGTGGACACAACTTTCCCAAAGACAAAGCAAGAGGTCCCATTAACACAAAATGACATTCTTAGGAAGTTTTATCCCAGAGGACACTGATTGGAAAAGAGCTATGATCTTTCACTCCACCTACCCCCAGGATCTGCTCTTCATGTTTCCAGTGAAGAACTTACTACTTCTTTACCTCCTTGAGCTTTCCACTGGTGAAGGTTGGAGACAGCAATGTTCTTAATCTCTTCCAGTCTTCATTCTCAGATAAGGTGATTGCTTTTTTCAAAAACCCCACTGGACCGAAAACCTAAAAACCAAAACAAAAATAGTGTTGCCATATATAAGCTTGAAAAATTCTACAGTTGTAAAAAAATAAAGCAGGTATCATTTATTTGAAAATATTTATGATTGTACAGTTGGTTAATGTAACATGTTCAGTGAATATTTGTCTTAAACGATCCCACCCCCTGGGAGGGTTGAGGAGTCATTCAGCCAAAACATGTGGCTCTACAACTTTATAATTTAGATCCTTACTTCCATAGAAGTTTCACATAGCTGTTTCAGAGGAATTAGATAGCAACAAGACCTGGCCCATTTTTCCAGTGTATGCCAAGTAGAAAGGAACTGATGACAACTGGTGGCCTTGTAAAGACAGACCTGTGATAAACTGCAAATATTCATAGTAGAAACTTCGTGGTAAAAGGGTGATTAACGTGATTTGAGAAAGCAATAACAGTGCATGAAAGAATTTAGGTATTATTTGGAAGAAATAATGTAATTCTATGTGAAATATTTTTTTCTTGCTGATTTTCTTAGGTGTAGATGATTGTACCTCTCTTCCCACCTTCTGCTAGACTTGGCACTATCTCCTTGAATCTTATGCTCATGAAAACATGCATTCAGTACAAAGTGGATATTTTTGTCATTCTGTATTTTAAAATGAGCCCATTTGGTATTTGATGTCTATACATGAAAGAATTTACCTTTTTTTACTTGCTGTATTAAAATTGAATTCAACATATAATAAACTTAGAGAAAAACCAATGTTTTTAGAGTTTTTCATTGAGTGCATGCACATGTATGTTCATGTGTGCATGTGCAGAGGCAAGAGGAGGACATCAAGTGTGCTGCTCTGTCATGCTGCCTTCCTCCCTTGAGACTGGCTCTCTCACAGAACCTGAAGCTCACTGTTTCGTGTAGGCTGGCTGTGAGTTCCTGGAATCCACATGTCTGTCTCCTGTGCTGAAGTCATTATACCTGTGGCCATGATTAACTTTTTTTGTGAGTCCAAACACCTTTGTACAATACAAGATAAATAAACATTCTGATGAATTTCTAAGGTGAGCGTAGTTAAGACCACATGAAACACACAATCATTTTCACAATAATTCCAAAGAAATGAAATACCAGGGGCTAGAGAGATGGCTCAATAGCTAAGAGTACTAACTGCTCTTTCAGAGGACCAGGATTGAATTTCTAGAAACCTTATGGCAACTAATAATCATCTGTAACTAGTTTTAGGGGTTTTGTTGATCTCATCTAGCTCCATAGGCACTCAACATAAACATGCTGCGTAGACATACATGAAGGCAAAACACCCATATTTACATCACAATAAAATAAATTAAAAAGAAGATGAAATATTTTAGGTTTGAATTTAACAAAAATTTATAGTACTCTAGAAGATGTAAAAATGATGTTGAAAGGAATCAAGCAAAATTTGAAAGAATGGAGAAACATATAATATTTTGAGACCAGACAGCTCTTCCAAAGAAGATGGCTTATCAATAAGAGAACTTTTTCTCAAACATGAAGACCCAAGTTTGAATCCCCAGCACCCACATTAGAGAAAGTTTGACATGGCTACATGTGCCATAACTACAGTGTTGAGAACAAAGACTGTTGGATCACAAAAGCTCATTGGTAATCCGGCCAAGATGAAGCAATGAGCTTTGGGTTCAGTGGGAGACTCTATCTCAAGAGAATAAGACAGAATAATAGAACTGGACACCTAATGTTTCTACACATGTACACATGGACACATGTGTATGTATGTAGACAGTACACATACAACTCAAAGTTCTAAGAATATTGATTTTATCCAAATTTATGAAAAGGTTTAGTTCATTTCTGATAGCATATGTAAATGGCTTTTTCATGTCTAGGCATCAGTAAGCTTATTATAAATTTGCATAAAAAGACAATGAAAGAAGAAGAGATAGAAGGGATTCTGAAAATGAAGAGAAACTGATTATTCTGCCTCATGTGGAGTCACGGTAAGACCCCAACTCAAAAAGCCTGCTTGCAACTGCTTTAAGCATATGCCCTAGGTGAATGACAATCAGCAGTGGAAAAGTACAAAACTTGCAAAATTTGCAAAACTTGCAAAACAGCCCTGACTGATGCTTGCACCCTGATCACAGTACCCTGCACCACCAGTCTGCCAGGAAACACCTAGCACCCATGATACGGCTTGGGGACTTTCCACGACAGGGTTTTGGGTTTTTATGGCATTTCTGGGAAATAGAAGGAACAAACAGCTATGGCCTAAAATTGACCCAAAATGCAAAATGTTGTATCCAATCATTCTGCACCTTATACCCATTATTTTAACATTGTAGTTTTTACCTATAAAATGTTTCTGGAATTGCTGTTCGGGGTGTGTTCAGCCTCCTTGGAGACTAGAGACACCCGGTTGCATGATCTTTAATAAACCCTGTTGCTTCTTGCATCTGCTCGACTGGTTAATCCCTCTTGGGCCTCCACCCAGTGGGTGAGGGTCTTTCGGTCACAATGCAGTTACAACAATCAAGAGTATGTGCTGTTATAGGAGGGACAGACCCAGGGCTATGGTACTTAACTGGGAATGAATAGTTCATCTGCAGATACAGCCCCAAATGATTTTCATTCTTTCTTGGTCCTCAATATAATCATTTAATCATTGGTTTAATGAATTGACTCTTTGTAGTCTAATCTGATATGATTCCACACCAGAATGTGGTTGTCCCCACTGATCTCTCTCTCTCTCTCTCTCTCTCTCTCTCTCTCTCTCTCTCTCTCT